ACATCTTTTATGGGTTAGGAACAGGGATGAAAGTTGCTGCAGTGCGCTCGGAACTCCCATGGGCGTTGGTAGCGATCAGCAACCCCTGTCTACAAATGATATTTATTTCGCAGCTCAGCACGACCCACTGTGTGTGTGCGGAAGCGCAGGCTCTCGGCCTATCGATATACGTCGTGTCATGCTATTTTCAGTATAGTGACGAGATTGAGGGCCACCTCAGGCACCTCGAGAAGGTGTTTCATTCCCTGAGCGGTGAGAGACTTATAGTGGCGGTAGATGCTAACGCACAATCGTCGCTTTGGGGTTCTCATGAGACCTATGAGAGAGGAAGGAAGTTCGAAACCCTCATTCGTGCATTTGGCTTTGAGGTAATAAATGAAGTCCATCAAGGGCCCACCTTCAAAACGAGGAGGGGATCGTCTTTCATAGATGTGACCCTGGTGTCCCCTCGAATAAGCCAATTCATCGGCACATGGAAGGTAAGGCCAGAATGGACAACTAGTGATCATATTTCAGTGGAGATCGGGCTGAGGGCACCGAGGATGACAAATGACCGCAGTGCTGCGAACTGTAGGTTCGACACTCGACGGGCCGACTCGGAGCTGTTCTGTGAGTCTGATAGATCTGTCTGGATTAAGACTCGTGGCCCCCGGCCCGGAATCTGCGGATGAAGCAGAACGGATGGCCGAATTAGCAGGTTATCAAAGAGCCATGCGAAAAATCGATGCCAAAGAAAAGAGTTTTTAGGAGATCAAATCCATGGTGGACGAAAGAACTCACGAAGCAGAAAAAGGAAGTAAGCCGTAAAAGAAAGATGATCCAAGGACTAAAAGGATCAAGAAATCAAAGTAAAACAGAAATTGAAACAATTAGAGCTTTAAAGCAAGAACACAAAGAATCCCTACGTCAATATAACAGGACAATAGGTAGGGCAAAATATGAAAGCTGGAGGAAATTTGTCACGGAATGTGGCAATGAGAAGCCATGCGGCTTTGTATACAAACAACAAGCGAATATGTTTAGAATCGAAAAGATCATAAGCACACTTAGAAGAGGTGAGCACTTTACAAAGACCAGAAGAAACAGCACAATGCTTGCTGAACACATACGTACCGGATGACTTAAGTCACGAAGACACGCAAACACAAAGCGAAATAAGAAGCCTTTCAAAAACAGCGCCAGACACTGCAGATGCCTCATTCTTTACAAGGAAGGCATTGGCCAAAACATTTAACAATGATAAAGCTACAGGCATGGATCTCATAGAAGTTAAAGTTCTAAAAATATCGGTAAGAGAAATCCCTGAACAATTCTTAAGAGTGTTTAATGGGTGCCTTCATTGGGGAGTCTTTCCCACGATCTGAAAGGAGGGCTCACTACGAGCCCTTCTGAAGGACGAGGATAAGGACCCAAAATCGTATAAACCAATATGTCTCCTCCCTGTAATAGGAAAACTCTTCGAGAACTTCTCAAAATGCGCCTAACAGGCAAGGCATTGGCGCCGGGAAGGATCTCCGATCGGCAGTTCGGATTTATGCCGGGCAAGTCGACGGAGGACGCGGTCGTGGAGCTGCGGAGTGCGGTCTCTGCCTCGGAAGGGAGATACGCTGTGGCGTTGCTCTTCGACAATTCGGGTGCCTTTGACAACGTTTGGTGGCCCCTAGTGTTGCGAGGTCTTAAACTGAGACAATGTCCCAATAATGTCTTCGAAGTTCTTCGAAGCAATTTCAATAATAGGCGAGTAAACATCTCAATAGGTGATACTGAAACCGGAGACAAGTCTCCGGCTTCATCTCCGGAGCAGCCGCGCCAAGTACCAAAGGTAGGGAAGGAACTGACAAGCGTCAGTTACGAATAACAGAACTTTACGTCTATAATTTTGTTTGCGCCAATGCGAAGCGCTATTATTATTACTATAGTTAAATTCATTATTAAAATTATTATTATTACTATGGTTAGAGTCATTATAATAATAATAATAATAATAATAGTATCCTGGGAGGCAGCCCCTAATTGGGGCCCACCAACGACACGCAGATCAAGTCCATTGTGTCTTCCCAGCCGTACTAACCCCAGGTCAGCTCAAACCAGTCTTCCTCC